TAGCATGGAGCTTGGCACAGGGAGGGTTCAGCATATGTCTGTTAAGTGCCTGGTTATGGATGAAGCCTGTAGGGTTCTACTGGCCTATTGCACTTTCTGTGTCCTGCCTGTGCAGGTGGCATTCTGGAGCCCTCTCCAGCTGGGGCAGTCCATGAACTCCAGAAAGTTCACATCAAAGGGGTGGCCCTGGCTCCATGATGAAGAGTACAGGCTCTGAAATCAGACCCAGGGCTCTGAATACCGTTCCCGCCTCTCACCAATCAACTATCAATTCTGTGCCTCAGTTCCTCATCTGTAAAATGAGAAGAATAATGCCTGCTAATAGAATCATTATTTGTATTAAATAGCTGTGAATACTGCCTGAAATCCTTGCCAACCCACATTATTTTGAAACAAGTCTCATTTCATCCATAAATATGGCAGCATGTGTCTCCACTAGATACGCTCTCACACATGCAATACCACTACCACACCTAAAATATTAACAATAATTCCATAATATCATCCAACCAGTGTTCAAATTTCTCTAGTTGTCTCATAAACAACTTTGTCATTTTGTTCAAATCAGGACTGAATAAGGTCCATCTATTGCAATAGACTAATAGGGGTACTGCGATTCTTTTGTTGTATAGCAGGCGTTGGCAGACTTTCACTGAAAAGGGTTAAATAGCAAGTATTTTAGGAATTGTGGGCCATTCTGTCTTTGTTGCTATGACTGAAATGAACGGGTATGGCTGTGTTTCAATAAAACTTTATTTATAAAAATAGGCAGTTGGCCAGATTTGGCCCCAAGAAGGCAGATTGCTAACCTGTGATGTACAGGCTTGTTCAGATTCAGGTTTTTGTTTTGTTTTGTTTTGTTTGGTGATAACATGTTGGTATCATTGTGGATTTCCATCAGAAGGTTTAGAATGTCAGGGTGTTTCTCTCTCCCTCTCTCTCTACTATTATCAGCCAAGTACATTCTGTGTTCAGATCCATTAACTCTTTAAGGGAAGCAAAATGGCAACATTCTAATTCCATTGTCCCTTCATTTATTTGCTGCAATACTTTTACAAAGAGAAACTTGCCTTCATCTACTATTTGCTTATACTGGGGTATAGTTTGTACAGGAAAGTCAAGATAATAAATGCTTGATCCCTTTCCTTTCTTTGCCAGCTTTTAAAAATAATGAGTTGGGCTTCTTAGCATTCTTCAAAGATAATCAATGTACTTTTAAAAAGAACATTAAGAGCAAATAGATTTCAACATAATTGAAGTGTTTTGAGGCATTGCAGTTACTGCCTTTAATGATGTTTAAATTGTCTGTTTTGCCCCAGCTTATGACAGGACCTCAGAAGTCTTTGATAACATCCTTGCTTCCTGGTGTGATGAGATATTCTAGGGTTATCTTATTCAGTTTATAAAATCAGCCTTCTCCAAAAGGCCCTGGTTCTCTCGGGAGGGAAGTGATATTTAGTAACCCTAATCTGATACTAAGGATACTCACTGTTTCCAGAACTTTTCAGTAGATATATCAAAGAATCATTTTTTTTAAAAGGGCCTCAGAAATACAGAATTCAGAATACTGAAATTTCTGAATCAATTCAGGACCACAGCTGGGGCCTCTATGGGTAAGGTAAGTACGTGGGAGGTGAGATCCCCGATGAGCAAAGCTGTTTGCGTCCCTCGGCCCAGCCCGATCAAACTTCTGGATGCCATCAAAGGGATCTGCTTAATCTAAGAATCATTTTTCTTTAAAAGAAAAACAAGTTCATTAATCAGTGGGGAGCCTTGGGACCAGGATATAAAGTTAATCAACGACAAGGGACTCCCTTCTATTAAAAGGACTATGTGCAAACAGGCATGCCTGGAGGAAGCCAAGGACCACGATTAAGGAAAACAAACGCCTTATGATTCATCTAACAGGCTTGGTCACAATTGCAGGTGTAAAAGGAACTCGGAGTTGGCAGTGAGAGACAACAAACATCAGTGGAACATGGGACAGTGACTCTTTCTGGCTGACCGCCACACCTTCCTACCAGGAATCCTCTATTAGTCATTTGGGTTGGAGGGTGAAATCCTTCCTCACCCTCCACTGTCCAGGGTCATGTTTAATGGTGATGTTTGTTCTTTCCAAGGAGAGGGGGCCCATCTCATTGCAGGGCTTTTGTTTTCCTGCGTGGACCCAGGAAGGCCGTGGCTGAAAGCGAAGGTGCTGAGAGGCTGTAAGGAGAAGGGAAGGAGGTGGAGGCTCTGGTGGAGTGAGGAAGAGCAGGGCAGTATCCCATGTCCACTGATGTTGGGGGTGAGGTCAGGAGGGTGGGTCTCACCTTCTCCTTTCTCTGCCCTGCATGGGTCACCAATCAACACAATGGGAAGGGGATTCTTGGGGTAGTGCTTTAAGGTGGATACAGGTTGATATGGTTTACAAATCAATGCTATTCAGTGAGAGGGCTGCCATTTATCATTTCAGTTCCAACACCTGCAAAGTAAAATTATTGTCTCCCAAATCTACCCAGCACCATAGGCTTGCATACGGATCAAGTGCTCTAAGACCATTCATGAAAACAGAGACAACCAAGGAGACAGTCACCCAATGCTGTCCCTTCAGCTTGCATTATTCTCTGACAAGACAGCTGTGCCATCCATTGAAGCCCGTGTGCTCCTCCGTCCCTGGATCTTCATGCATCCTTTTCCCCCACAAACCCCAACTATCCCTCTTAAAATGAAAAGCTCAGGAATACTCACCCTAGACTGAGTCAGGAGTTTCAAGTACAAACCTTAGTTAGACTTGATTTTTTAAAAATTTCCCTTGTGGCTTTTAATCATTAGGGAGAGCAAATGTCTCTAGTATTAAACTTATATGTCACATGGTCTCTTTATCAATGGCCCTAATACATTTCATGTGCTTTTCAGAAAGATTATATTCTTCCCAGAGCTGTCTGAATGTCTTTTTGAACCCCTCAAGACTGGACAACAAGGAGTATAAATAATTTTTCTTTTTTTTTTTAAATCACACTCCCTCTACAACCTTGAATCTGAAACGTGAATATATGAATAGAATGGCTCTGAAATAACTATGCAGATTTATGGAGAATATCAATGTAAGTTACATCACGGGATCCAGTTATGCTTTTCTTCCTGGAGCTGGGGATTTGTTAAAGTTGAGATACAGTTTGGGGAAGTGTGATTTATGATTAAAGTCATCTGAAAATCAATACAGTTGAAGATCTCTGACATAAGGGTCCCTTGCAGAGCTAGACGTGATTCTAAAATTGGGAACACAGGAATAAAAATCAAATCTTAAGTAGAAGTAGATGAAAATTGCAGTGATTCGGGGAAGCTTGGCTTCTAACTCCCCACTGTTTGAAGATGGGCTTGTTTGTTTTTTAAAACAGCCAACATAATTCAGCTGGAGGAGGAGTTTCTATTCCTTGTTTCTGTAGAAATCGATGGACTTTAACTTGTAAAATTGTCCCCCCTGCCTTTAGTATCTAAAATAAAATAACCCTCGTTTTTTGCGTTACTGAACGCATTTCTGCGTCTTGGTGTCTATGGCTAAACGAGTATTAATCAGACAGTCCGCGAAGAGCTGGCTGGGG